AAAGCTGAGACCTTTTTGATGAATGTAAAATATTATAAAAAAAACTAGTTTAATATGAGACGTTTAAAAAATAAAATTAAATAAAATTATACATCAAAGTCTTACAAGTATACCGGTCTTTAACCACAGCAGTGAAACATATCTATCTAATCTCTTCTTTTCGTCAGCTTGAGGATCATTAAAATCTTTAGGGCCATCGTGTGGACCGGCCATCAGAAGGACATGTTTGTCACCGGGAGTCTGAATTTTAATTTAAAATTATTCGCTTCACTGTAGATGTAGATTTCATAATTAAATTACAGTTAGTTTAGATATATCCCAAATATGTTAATGGTTTTTGAATTTGCTTAGATTTAACATTTGAAAAAGAATTTGCATATCATGCACATAAGATAGCGTTTTGTCGATAATATAAAATAAATATCACGTCAGCATAGATAATTCACGAGATAATTACATTTAACAAATAAAAATGAATCTTAAGATTGTGCTCAAGCGTGGTTATCGCATATTTCATGCAAATAGGATAGCGTACAAGACAATTCTCAAACGTGATTATCTGACGATCGAATCACAGAGGTTTCTAATTAAAACATAATGCTATTCGATGTAGTACATTACAAAACATCACGATACAATACTATACAACAAAATACAATATAATACTATACAAACATGAAAAAAAGGTCAGGTTTTATGTTTTGAATTTGAAACTAAGAAAGGCTAAAGTTTTTATAAAATAAAGAATTAATAAAAGATGGTTAAATAAATGGTTGAGTGAAGAACTGATCAAATTGAAATGAAAGAAATAGATAAGTGGGTGAATTTCAAAAAACATCAGAAAAGGCAGTCTATTCAACGGTTTACCTTCAAATGCAATGAAAATTTTGCTGTCAATTTAGAATCTGGGCTGCAAGCAAGAATTATGCATGTTGACAGTCTAGTCGAACGTCTTCTTTTTGCTGCTCGAGCTATAGAGAAGAGCTGTTTCAGGCGCCTTCACCGCTTTCATATTTCATAGTATATCTCCGATTCTAAAACGACTTTGTTAATTATCTGACAACAAGCGCGTTATTTTAAAAACTACTGTACTGATGTTTAGATGATTCACAGACCAGGCACTAAAATATTTGACAAATGATAAAGATTAGTGTACCAATATCAGTTTATCTGAGCTCGAATAAATTGAAATACCTAGCTGTTCACATGAGTCATTTGAAGATAAAATCTAAAAATTTAATGTTTTCAGCCTTAAATTGTGGAACAATCCAAATAGCCACTTAGCTAAACCAAATTTGAAATTGTTAACATTTAAAAAAGTGTTTAAAACTTAATTCTTTCCTGGTAAAAAAATTTTTTTACTTTTTTTTTAATAAGAGTGCATCCGATAAAATATATTTTTAATAAGATTTTATAAATATACATTTTATACATACATATATATAGGTATAATATATATATAGGTATATATATATTTGTAGGTATATATATATATATATTGTTGATAAAAATCGGAGCACGTTTCGCGTTAGATTCCTTTTTCATTTTTCGATTTTTCTAACGGTAGATCGTAAATCATTGTCAAGTTTCCCGAGTTCAAAACCAAAATATTTATATTTATTTTAAACCTGATAGAACATTTAAGCATGATAGAACAAAAAAGCTGTTTTTGGTATTATTCGATGTTGGCATACCATCTTCGATGTTCGAATTGAACAAATTCTCAAGTATATATGTATTGTATCTCCACGATGTTAATTCTTTGTCTAATGTGAATAATTAATGGTCATTTAATTGCAATACTTGCATAGATTA